AGCGCGGCGAAAAAAAACAAACAAAACAAATTCGGGCCGAATGACCAGACATCATTGTTGGTCACATCCAATTGCTGGATCCTGCACAGCCTGCAATACTGTTCTGCCACTTTGACTCGCAGCACAACACTATGTGGATGACAGAGAACTCTGCTCCTTTTGTGGCAGCATTTAGCTGCTTAAAGGCTGGCATTTGAGAGCAGGCAGCGTAAGGTCTCAACAGGTGGTAAAAAACGCAGCACTTGGCGAGTGAACACTTGCATTAGCAGTGACTGAGATGGCGCCTCAAGCGAATTGACGTCGGAGGTCCTGCCATTTTCTTTGGAGGGTCTCATGTTGAGAATTAATCTGTGAATCTGATTAGCATGGGTACAAAACAAGAACGATGCCATGGCCCGAGAAATAGACGTACCTCCGCATACTGCAGCTTTGTCTGTACAAGCTGTGCCTCAAGCTCTGACAGCTCCTTCTCGAGCCGTTCGTTCTCCTCATGTACTTTTTCATTCCGCTTCATGAGGTCATCCCGTTCAAGTTGCCAGGCTTGTTCGATTTCCTCGGGTTGCTTCTCAATCACGATGCGAAGCTCTTTGACCTGTCCGGCCAAGCTCTCGTTCTTGTCCTTCAGTTCTTCGTTCTCAACCTTGGTGTGCACAAGGTCGTTCGCCATGTCTGCTTGCTCACGGTCGTTCACTTCAATGCGTTTCTCCAATCCGCGAACCTTGATAGCAAGGTTTACATTGGTAATTCGAAGTTGTTCCAGTTCTTGTTCGCGTTCCTTTTCTGCACGCGTCTGCTCCTCCCACTCGGTAGCATATGTCTTGAGGAGCTCTGGCGTCAGCTTAATCTCACAGGCATCACGGATTAGTTGATCAGCTCTGTAAACCTCTTTGTCGATATTGGATGAGCTGCTGCCGAAGAATCCGTTTTCAAGGATGCTTCCTGCGCTTGGCGCCTGATCTATGTAGACATCGAAAAGTTTGTCCTTCAGGAAATTAGTCAATTGCGACATATCTGACATCTCAAGAAGCGTCGAGGAGTTCTTCTGCATGAGTACTATGCCAAACCGAAGAATAGCGCTAAGACCTTCGGAGAGGATGAGATCGTAGATTCTGAGAACCAATTGGAGCGGGAATCTGTAGGCAAACAAGGTAAGAAACCATTGTGTGGCATACAAATGGGGAGTAATTCCTCTGCGGTGCAAATGGCAGTACAAAGCGGGTTCCAAGTCTTCTAGTATGCGCTCGAACTGATACAGAAGTGTGTGGAGTCCCGGCATGTCCTGAATGAAGAGATCTCGTAGCTTGTACTGGTTCATGAGGCGGATCAAGAGGCAAAACGCTTCCTCTTCAGGCATGTTGAAAAGTAGCGGCATAATCAGGAAGTTCATCCCTTGGGCATATCCCACAGCTTCATCGAAGATCGCATAGGCTTTACATATGCCGAAAAGACCATCCTGTAAACCAGCAGCGGCGGCATATTTGGAATAGCTTGTTCTAGCACCGAGGTCCCTGCGAATGGCCTTTTCGAGCCGTTGCAGCGAAGCCGCATCTTCCTTTTCCTGTAGTTTCTTTCTTGCTATAGCAGCTACACCTTGAGACTTTAGAGCGGCGTCAGCCGGCTCAGGGGGTGTGCTTGGCAATCGTTTGCCAGTACCACCGGACTGTTCTGATTTTATCGAAGACGCAGACGAGGTCGCTGGCTCTTTGTCGACACTCAGGTTGCCGTTACTATGAATGCTTGCTGTCGTGCCGTTGCTGTTTCTGTCCTTGCTTTTTTCAGTATCCCGGGACACCAATTCCTTGTACACCACCTCCAAATCTTCGTTCTTGCTTTGAGCCAGAACTTGCCAAACAACGCCACGGATGACGTTGGGGATACCAGTCATGATGGCTCGGTTCAACTCTTCAGGGCTTGTTCGAGCTACAGCGGCCGGGCCCTCGTAAACAACGGATTGCCAGAGATCCCAGTCGACTGGAGTATCGGCAAGTGCAGATGGACCGGCTGAAACACCTGATACGGTACCTGGAGCCAAATTCGAATCGGCAGTGGATGGGAGCGAGGAGGCTGGTAGTTGGCTACCGACTCCTTCAGAGCTTTCCATGCCAGCGTTGATATTGATGGTGGCTGCTCGCTGAAGGAAGTTGGGAGTGGCGACTTGAGACGGATCGTCATCTTCAGTAGGTAAGGATATACCAACTTCTTCTCGCAACCGCACCATTTTGAACCTATCTTTCAGAATGCTTCTTGCAGGCCGAAGGCCCCCATTCATGGCTGCCGATTCTTCCTCTTCCTCCAACTTGCTTAGCATCATCTCCGGATTACTAGTTAGTGTAGCAATTGAACTCGCCGTGTTCCGTCTAGGAGAGCTTGTATTCATCGAAGTTGGGGGTGCAACATTTTCTTTCTGGCCGGAATTCCGAGATAGCCAAGCGAAGGGACTGCTGATTTTCCGTGAAGGGGGCGGCGGAGGCGGTGGAGGCGGTACAGTCGCGTTAGAGACAGGTACAATGGGACTCGACTTTGGTGGAGATTCGGCAATTGAGGGTGACCATGGCATGGAAGGCAGAGAGGCCGCAATGCCGCTAAGAGACAACTTCTTAGTGGCCGGCTTTTCTGCCGCTTCTACTACTACTGGCGGTTCCTCTGCTTTGGATATTATTAGTCAACGTACTTCATCCATGAGCGTGATGTCAGATGCGACCAACCTTTTGGCTGTTCAATAGATGGTTCATCGCCAAGATCGACATTGTCCAAGGTGGCATGTGAGAGTCGCTTCGATGCTCCCGTGGAGTCTATAGTGACGATGCTACCGTGGTCGTCAGACTGGTCGACGCCCTCAGTTATGGCGTGTTCGCTGGATTTCTCGTTGTCCACGTGGGTCTTCCCTTCGACTTCTTCGTGTTCTGGCGCTTTCTTATCGAGAGCTTCGCTTCCTGCCGCCTCTTTTTCAGGTCGTTCCTCTTCAGGTGTCTCCTTCTCCGGCGCACCTGAGACAGCATCAGCCTCGATGTTCGCTGAGGTTAACGATTTCGCCTGGGAAACTTTGCGATTGGTGAGCGATCGAACAGATCCGGTGTCAAGAGCATCCTCAAACGAGTCCTGGTGATACAAAGAGATTAGTCCAAGTATGTCTCCAGGCGTTACATAGAGCAAAACGTAGAAATGTAGAGAGAGAGAGAGAGAGACGCGTATGTGACATAGGTGATGTTACAGTGGCTTGGATGGCATGCGTTCTGTGTAGCCGATATACGTACCGTGTCCTTGTCAGAACTGGCTGGCGAATCACCGGGCCGAGGCGTCGTCGCCATTTCAGAGGCAGGTTCCTCAGGCGTCGCCGACATGTTGCCAGCTAATGAACAGAAGACCGTCTGTTGCGGAATGGATGAACTAATCGTCCGTGGGAATCGGTGACGATGACGAGATTAGGATAACAGGCTAACAGTGTCTGTGAAAAATGTTCGACTCAGGGTGTCTTTGCCATGAGCAACGAGTGCTGGGCGGATATAAACGACTGGGGGAGAGGAGGGCGGTAGGGTAGGCAGAGGTGCAGAAAATGCAACGTCGTCGTGCGTCTATCGGCGTCTAGGGGTATTGTCGGACGGTTAGACGGACTAAAAAAAAAAGCAATTCTTGAGAGAAAAAGAAAAGAAAAAAACCGAGTTGCGATGTGGAAATCTAACGTTGGTTTACAAGGGAGAGGGGGTATGTTATGTGTTGCTCACGGGAAAAGGAAGTCATAAAGAGACGAGACGAGACGTAAAGTAGAATCGAGGATGAAGATGGACGGTTTTCTAGTGGTGTTCGTTTGGTTGCAATGGCGGCACATGTGAGCACATAGTGTAGGTACCGTGCACCACAATATTGGACCTAAGAGGCCGGTAATTTAGGGGGAGTAGGTACCTGCTGAGCGCGCACAGCACACCTATACCGCCGGTACCGGTACCTCCTCCACCCCCGTCACTGGTAGAAGCTACGGTCAGTACCTAGATACGGCCCCTAAACTTGAGGACTAGCACCCCTAAAGCCCTAAATTACAAGCAGGCATGCCTGTAACTACCTGCCTAGACTAACTACTAGGTAAAGGAGAACATACGAGAAATACATCGGCGTGAAATCTTTTCGTATACAGACTACATAATGTATCCTCGTACTGATTATCGGCCCATCTGGTACCTACCTAGGCACGTTGAAGACCTGTGCAGGTGTAGCGGAGGTACCTGCTACTATGTATAGACGGGAGCCCCCTTTACCGCAGGTTCAGATAGGTACAGACTCAAAATCCAGGCGCCGCTAAGGTCGCTAAAACCCTCGATTGGCCCCCTATAAAAACGTTAGTGGCTTCTGACTTTTGTGTAGTCCGCAAGTGTGAGTGCTCCGTGTTCTAGATATATGGCACGCAACCCCCTTCAGTGTGTGGTATGCAATGACAAACATGCCACGAAAAATGAACCTGGAAATCCTAATGGAGCCCGGAGTGATACAAATCTACGTGGACGTGGGCAAAGCATGATTGGCAACGCCTGTCTAAGTAAGTACCTATGGTTGAAGCCATACGTAGTTAGCCGGTACAAAGTCAGCTACCTGGATTAGTTATGCCAAGGAGGTGTGGCGCTGCTAAACACCAGTGCTGGTGACATATGTTTCTCATGACTTGGAAGATGCTTGTTTACGCTTCTATTCTCGAACACACAGCGAGCAGCCGCTATGCGCAAACGATGTACGTGTCTTTAATAAGTAATTGTTGGTTGGTATCATGTTAACGCTCTGCATAATGTGCGTAATATATGGTTATTAGACGGATGATGGATGATGCGATGTAACAGAGCTCGCCGTCACCCGTCGGGAGCAGCGTGCAAAAATGCTGAAGACAAGAATCCTAGAAGACCAACCACGTAATCGGACAACAGGTAACGTGTCTCAGACATCGGAACCACTAGCCAAGCAAGTCCAACCACCCGAAACAGATTAGAAACGGAGGATTTGGATTCAAAAAAGAAAGCTGTCCTCGGTGAGACTCGAACTCACGACCTTTGGATATCCCAACGTTTGATTGGGTCAAGTTATGAGACCAACGCTCTAACCAACTGAGCCACGAAGACATGGTAGCCTCTTGATTTTGTGGACTCAAGTATGACAGTGCCGACCGGTGCCGGCTGTAAACTTGTGGCTGACAGCCTGACAGTCGGCTTCTGCGAATCGAGATTGTTCCACATCGTTTCGTGGACTCTCACTCAACATCACTCACCCAATTCAATCCATCAAGTGCCCTCCGTTAATATATATATATGTCCGAACCTCTAGTGATCCCGCCAGCCGTGTCCCCAACATACGCGGGAATCTAGAGCCAGGCGATAACATTAAAACGTTGGGCGGATGACCCTCATCGTGTGCATCGCCATCGGATCCATGACCGTCGTCCGTCACCTTCCGAAACACTAGATAGACTGAACCCGTCCCTAAGCTTCAAAAGGCCAAAGGCACCTCCAGGCTCCAGGCTCCAGCCATCATCGCAATCAGGAATGTTCACGGTCCGACACGGCCAACCCCCGGGTTCAAGATGGATATGCCACCACCATATCTCAGACTCGTCACTCTTTCGAGAGTTAATCCAACTCATTAAAGTGATTGGATCAACTCACCGAGTGGGGAACTACCGAGTCGTGCGGGTAGGTATTTCACTTTTCTACGGCGGACTAGAGGGGCGACTGTTTCGAAATGCGATTTTTTAGTAGGTGCACGCCACTAGGGTAGCGACCAGTTTTAAATGCAATTAACCGGTTATTACCGCCTCTTACCGCTTTCTGATTACTACCGCCTGCCACTGCCTTCCATTTATGGCCGACTAATTACGTAAATCAGCAACCGCAAAGTGGCAGCTATGTAGAGGGTACTTAATTCAAACTATAAATCAGGTGCGACAGGAGGTAACTAGTACTATTTCGAAGCATGCTGTCGCCGATTGTGTGAATAAGAAAAAGCGTTCACGAAGAAGGAACGAGGCATTGTTATTTGTAAATTAGGAAGGAGCGGAAAACTATATAAGGTCAATTCTTCCCGGTCAATTGATTTTGAACCTCTTCTTCCCAGGCATACTTTTTTTTTTCTACCCCTTCCTCGCCTGCCTTCCTCGCCTGCCTTCCTTGCCTGCCCTCCTCGCCTGTCCGTAACTGACTCTTCCCGAGCTATATACAGGTGCGCGCGCTAAGCGGCGGGTCTAGGGCTAAGGGCTGAGCGGGCTTCGCGAGCGGTCGCGGGAGCCGTGGGCTGGAGGTGGAGGCTTGGCGTTGAATGTGGTGACGGCCGTCACACTCAAGTAGTGAGGAGGTTGTTCAGGTAAATACAAATATGCGCTCACTGATACAGGTTAATGCGAACATGAACATTCTACGGGAATTTCGAAGACTTTTATATAAATTCTACAACAGTAGTTCTCAGACT